GGGAAAAATCCGGACGTATGGTAACCCTCCTAAAGCCGGCCCTGCTTCTGGGTGCTTCTCAGCTGCATCTTCATATGCAGGGCCAGCTCTAGGCACCAGCAAAACGAGCTGGTGCTTGGGGCGGCACATTTTTAGGGGCGGCATGGCCGGCACCAGAATGCCACCCCTAAAAATGTGCCCCGGCCGCCCTAGCTCACCTCCACGGCGCGCGAAACAGCTGATTCACACACCGCTGCTCCCCCTCCCTCCCAGGCTCTCAAGGCTCTGTTCATATGGCCCTGATTGTCCCTCCCCTTCCGGTAGAAGTTGCTGAAGCAAGATGGAAGGACACACATCAGCGGGGGGCTGTATTACCTGGCTATGAGCTATACAGGCAGGACAGACGAGGGAACAGGGGCAGATCAGAGGAGGGGGGGGGGCGTCTCAGGACTTCTGTTGTTTTCAGAGATCTGTAGCTCTCAAGTGCTTTAAGAGTCAAGTGGCTGCGGTTAAGCCTGTGTGCCTGGTTCCCCCACCGTGCTGTCCCTGAAGGGGTTAAACGAGAAGGCCAGAGTGCCCCCAGCTGGGTGAGCTCTGGGGCAGCGTGTGTAAATGGCTGGAGCTGGGGGAGGTCTCAGCACTGGTTACAGGTCTGGATGCAGGGCCGGCCTTAGGCCAATTCCACCAATTCCCCCGAATCGGGCCCCGCGCCTAAGAGGGCCCCGCGCTGAGTGGCAGGGCCGCCCAGAGTGGGGGGCAAGTGGCAAAGAATCCCTTCCCTGGCTAGAGGCGCCTTTTTAATTTTTACTCACCCAACGGCGCTCTGTGTCTTTGGTGGCGGGTCCTTCAGTGCCACCGAAGACCCGGAGCGAGTGAAGGACCCGCCGCCAAAGACTAGGAGCGTGGCTCGGTGAGTACAAGCCCCATGTGATTTTTTTATGGTTTTTTTTTTTTAAGTCAACCCTGACGGGGCCCCGTCAAAACTATTTGAATCGGGCCCTGCACTTCCTAAAGCCGGCCCTGTCTGGATGACAGTGTCCCACATCCCAGGGAAGGGCATCAGACAAGAGGTTGACCCTGGGGTTGGGCTCTATAGACCCAGAAACAGCGACTAGCCCCTGCCTAGACTCAGCTGGTGTGGAAGCAGCAATTGGCTCCACTCACACCAGACTGGGGACTGTACAGTGTGTAACTGGGTCAGTTTGTAACAGTCTCCTCTGCTGCGGGGCCGACGGGAAACTTGAGGGTGGTTAGGGGACTGGTGTGCTGTGACTTCTGCCTGCCACGCTGGCCACTGCTGTCTCATTGTTACCCGGTGCTCTTCCTGTCTCTTTGTTGTCCCCACCTGTTGCTTTGTGTCTATAAGTGCTATGGGGCAAGGGTCGTCTTGCTGTGCTCTGTGTTTGTACAGCACCGAGCACCACGGGGTGCTGATCTATTACTCTCTGACCTAAACAGCAGGTCCGACTAGAGGATCCCAAGGATGCCTCCTGGCCTTAAAATCTATACCTCCGTGAATATGAGTGTATAACTGGGGCCCCCTAGTGCTACTGTAATAATAATTTTAATGAGTCTTCTCTCCCCTCACCAAGCTCTATGCAACATGGCAGACAGGAGAGACACCCCCTCACTGCCCAGCTACCAGTCTCAACCATGCCTGAGGCCTGTCCTACAGCCATTCTGTGTCACCTGGGTGCAGCGAGATTGGGGGGTTCAGCTCAGTTCCCAGGGGCCCCACCCAGCACCCCCAATCCTGTCAATGGCACTAATCTTCCCATCAGCACAGAGGCCAAGGACTGGATGGATCTGGATCTCCCCTCTTGCCTATCAAGGAACGTCTCGCTGGAGTACGTTGGCAGAGCCATGTCCTGGCGAGAGGGGGAGAGAGTTTCAGTCTCCAGGGACTGCCTCTCACCAGCCCCTTTGTGCATGTCCGTCCGTCTGTCTGTCCTTCTTATCCCTCATCTCCGCCCTGTGATTCCCAGAAGTCCTGAGCACCGGCAGCTCCAACTGCAGCTCCCGTTGCAGCTGTGGGAGCTCAGCGCTTCTGGGAGAGAAGGTGCATGCACAGACACCAAGGTTTTTTGACCTGAAGCGCCAATGCTCGGGAATTGGCGGAAGGGGAACATTTTTTTAGTACGGGGAGACACTGTTTGAGGGGTACATGTAAGGGCTTTTGATACTTAAGGCGCTTGATATTTTTTGCCCTTGGGGGTGGTGGGGGCTGGGCAACAGCTTTCTGCCCAGTTTCGTTTGGGGGGAATTGCAGGCTCGGGTGATTTTTAGTGTACCAGTTTTACTGGTTGAGGGACCATAACTGGAGTACATGTACGCGGCAGGAGTGCCCTTTTTTGGCATGGGAATTTGCTTAGATTCTGTCGCCCCCATTATGGATACCTGGCAGACAACCACAACCAAGTGGCCAGGCACCCACAAAGGGCTAATTTAACAGATAGGCTAGCACAGTGGACAAAACATACACCACCAAAACATATAACATTTACCATTAACCATTTACTGTGTGCCCCCTTTTTATACCGGCGAGGTGTGACCAGTGGTGAGCTGGAGCCGGTTCGCACCGGT